GTTGTCTCGAATAATTACAGAAAATTATTAGGAACAAACTTGTCCTTATATATATTTCCTGCTTTTCTGCCATCATTACCTCCGTGTCTTCCTCATCATTCAAGATTTTCATAATTATTTGAATTTAATGTTTTAGAAGAATAAATAATATATGTATATATATATATTTATGACGTAGGAATTCGGCAGTCGCTATCCTATCCAAAAATAGGTATTGGGTAAACCCCCGGCCGAACCATGCAAATCAGATCCGACGGAAAAGTCATACTAGACGAGCCATGTATGGCAGGTGACCTGAGGCATCAGAGGTTTAAACCCGTGACCTCACGGTCACAACTCTAATTCCTACACCACCACCAGGCCATCCCTTACGGGACAATAAATAATATATTTTCATATTGAATTGTTATGATTATAAAGTAAAAAACCTGTGTTTGTTTGTGGATTTGGAATTTTTGAAAATATTGAATTGTTATGATTATAAAGTAAAAAACCTGTGTTTGTTTGTGGATTTGGAATTTTTGATATGGTGTTGAATAGTAAATGTTGAATTTGAATAATTGTTTGATGTGATATAAATATATATTGATGTGATATTTTTTAATGTAAAATAAATTTATAATATAATATAAAAAAAATTAAATGTTTGATGTGATATTTTTTTATGGGAAAGAAGAATGTAAATAATAAAAATCTTGATAAAACCCACAAAAGAATACTATACACTAAACAAATTTGAATTTATGATCTCATAGTTACAAGTTCACCTTCACACCATACCATCGGATCATTTTTTACAAAACAATTTGCTTATAATCTTTTTATATGAAAATTTGGTACATTTTTATAGAAATAAATATGAAATTGTATAATAAAAAAATTTTAAAAATATATATACAAAGAGAATAAAATATTAATTACTTAGGCTCTTTTTTGGACAATAATTTTGAATTTTTAAAATTAATACAAAACTAATATATGTAATGTGAACTTTTGTATAGAATAATGAATAGTGTCAAAATTTAAAAAAATATAGTGTGTGATTATTTATATTCTAATGTTTCCAGTTTTTTTTTTAATTTTGATTTTTTTATGTAAAATAATGTCTGATGTAAAATGAAAATACATAGTAGATTTCATAATTGAAAACACAAGCAAGCACAACCTTGAAATTTTGAAGACAAATCAATTAAGGTTGTTATCAATTTCCAATTAAAACTTGTAAATCATATATATATATATATATAGATATATATTAATTAAACTCAATATAATTTAGAAAAGACTTTATATTTATATGAAATTTTCATCGATCACTTACAAATCAATTATGCTCATAATTCAATTTAATTTCAAACTTTAGGAAAGGCAAATGATATCTTAACCCCTTTAATTAATTTCTTCCTTTTGCTATATCACCTTCAATGATTAATCTCACGTGTACGTTGTCATCAAAATTCTATTTCACACTATATTGAAAGAGTTAAAATATTTTTTGGAAATTCTAAAGTTTGCATTATTAATAATCAAAATAAGGGGCTTGTATATAGGTATTCTAAAACAGACTCGATAGATTTAAATCTAAATAACGTAATTTAATGGATATGACCAAATCTAAATCTAAATCTAACAAATCTAAAACTAAATATCGAAAATCTCTCGACACCCCCTCTCAAACTCGAGTGGGATCGCAGAAACCAACTTGAGTTTGACAAGAAAGTTAAAGAAAAAACCAAAAGACGCAAACGCAGATAACAGTTGCTTGGTCCGTTGTTGGCACCGCCGCTCTCGACTGAGCTTCTATTCTCGCACATAATAGTTGCTCGTCTGAAGTCGCCTTTGCCGCTCTCAACTAAGCTACTGTTCTCGAACGCAGACATGAATTCTAATGCAAATGCAAATAACAATTACTTTGTCCGTCGTTGCCGCCGCCGCTCCCAACTGAGCTCCTATTCTCACACATAAAAGTTGCTCGTCCAACGTCGCCTTTGCCGCTCTCAACAAAGCTTCTGTTCTCGAACGCAGACACAAACTCTAATGCAAACGCAAATAATAATTGTTTTTTCCGTCGTTGCCGCCGCCGCTCCCGACCAAACTTCTGTTCTCGCACATAACAGTTGCTCGTCCGACGTCGCCTCCGCCGCTCTCAACAAAACTTTTGTTCTTGAATGCAGACACAAACTCTAAAGCAAACTCAAACTCAGACAAAATTGTAGATATATTTCAAAATCAAAGACCTCCGGGTACATTCAACCTGAAATGTACCCGGAGCAACGAGGTTTAGTAGGCTATATCTATCCCAATAAAAAAATAGGCTCTGATACTATGTTAAAATATTTTGTGGAAACTCTAAAGCTTATATTAGTGATAATCAAAATAAGGCGCCTATATATAGGCAACTTAAAACAGACTTGATAAATTCAAATATAAATAACGTAATCTAATAGATATTACTAAATCTAAATCTAAATCTAAAAAATTTAAAATTAAATATCGAAAATCTCTCGACACAAAGAATTCTGGGTAATTTTTTATTTATTTATTATTTATGAAAAAAAAAAGTGTATATATATACATGCATGATATTAAACCATATAGTAGAAAACATGAAAGATAGGGGAAAAAATCTCTCAATTTCAGCAAGTTATATAAATTGAATAAAACTCAATATTATAATACATTTTCCATAGTAAGTATTTTGCTATTATTTATAATTTGAAATATTAAAGAATTAAAAAAAAAATCTTTATTTACAAGTAATATTTGAATTTTTTTTTTTTTTTATAAATCTAAATGCAATTTATAAACTAATTGAAAAAGAGCAAATTAAATAAATATATATTAAATTCATGCCACCTAAAATACAGTGGAAATTGAAAACAAATAACAAATAAAATGGAATAGAGATGGTAGATATGGGCACTAAAATAAGTGCAAATTTATGTAATTCCAAGAGCTCCGGGGTTGGACGTCTGACCGTGAGGTCATGAGTTCAAACCCCCGACGCCTCAGGTCACCTCGTCTGGTATGATTTTTTTGTCGGACCTGGTTTATAGAGTATTAGATTTTGTTTGGGGTTTACCCAGTGCGTACTTTCGGATAGCGGCTGCGGATTCCCACGCCATAAAAAAAAACAAAAAAAAAAACTTCATTTAATAAATAAAACATATAAGTTCACACTAAGGTCTTATTATAGGATATAATCCTATATAATATTAAATTATAATTCCTATATATAAAGACACAAATTTGCTTTACAAATGCAGAATATATAGGTATGGGAAGCAAACTTTTAAAGAAAACATTTACATAGAAAATAATTTAATTTAGGGTTAGTGGCACATAAAATAGGGCAAAAAGCCCAAATAATCATGCCCCATAATATATATCTATATATATATATATATATATATAAAATGTAGATAAAGTTGGTGTAAAATGAAATAAAGTAGAGTAGAGGGCTTTTTTGAATTATGGGAGGGAATGTCTGTTTCCTTTGAGAAAAGCTGAAATGAGCAAAAGTAGAATGGTCATCATTGTGTCATCAACAAACTTATTTTATTTTTTTATTTTTTTATTTTGTGGTCAAAAGAAGCATAGCATTTCCCATTTTGCATTATTGCCATGACAATATGACATGCATCACCTCTCTTTTATTATTATTATTATTATCGGATTGATTACAATGCTAATTAGAAAAAATTAATTTTTAAAAAGTTCTCTTCAAAACTTCAAAGAGCATCAATTAAAAATTTCCAAATCACCCATAAAGAATTTAAATAGTAAATTTTAAATATAGTTAAGATTTTTTGAACTCTTGAATAATATTTTTGGACTTTTGATCGATACTTTTCTTAATTCTTAAATGCTACTATATGAAAAAATTATATTACGACTCGTGTTCTATATGCTATGGATTTTTAGTTCTTGTACTGTTATTTTAAAAATATTAATATAAATGATATCCGAATTCTTGATCTGCTTTAAGGACTCTGAATCGATATTATTTGAATAAATTAGCACGGTTCTGAATTCTTGACCTGCTTTCAAGATTCTTAGTTATCCCATACTCATATTTCTCATAATTAATGCCTCCAACTTATTCCTTCTATTTTGTACAATCTCTATCCCAATCTTCATCGCTTTAGGACAAAAATATTTTTTTCTTTTCTATTTTCTTTTCTTGTTCATTTTCATAATTAGCCTTATGGAGAATGAAATTTTAATTGTAGACCCGCCACACACAAACACACATGTATCTATGTGTCTATATGTAAGTACAATTAATTAGTTTCGTAAAAGATGACCATGTGAATTTGTTCAAATTCTTAATCTCTTAGGTTTTGTCTTGACTTTTATTTTGGTATTTTGTATTATTTTGAAGTTACTTTAATTGATATATTTTTTCTTTTTATATATATATGATTTTTTTAATAAAAAGCAATATAAGTATAGTATTTTATTTAATTTTTATCGAGAAAAAGAATTGCTTTGAATGAAAATTTTTAGTGAATGGTTATAAACACAAACCAAATTCAAAAAAATTGCAAATTATGTCTTAATCGTGCGTGTGTATATTTTTTAAAAGTTTTGTACAATTTATCAATAATAATTTCAAAAAGTATTATGTCAAATTTTTTATTTCTTCTCATAAAATATTATATTAAATACTTGAATTTTTAGTATTTTTAAAAAATTTCAAAATTTTGAATCTTCAAAAGTCATATCTAAACTAAATCTAAAAAAAACGGCACAAATACCACTTATAATAATATATCTACTTCTAATAATTTATTATTGAGAAAAGTGATATTTATATTAGTAAAAAGTAGTATATATATATATATATAACAAAATAGAATTTTAACTACTAAATTAAATTAAAGTTCATTTTGCAATGAGAACTAAGATAGAAAATTGCCTGATTTTTCTTTTTTTTTTTTTCGTTATAATTCTCGAAAAAAAAAAGAAATTAAATACTTGGTTAATAATACGAAAAAAAAAAAAAAACGCATTTTCCTCTCACCACTACCCAAAAGCAACTACAACAAGTTTCTCTTGATCTAAAGTGATCGAGTAATCTTCACTTAAACAGTTACCTCATAAATCGTGCCACGCGCCGGTCATCGGAAAATGAGCCGTGGTGAGCACCACCGGTCTCGAAAGAGGGGCTGGGGCCCACACACCGGAATTGCTCGATGACTTGGCAAAAATAATAGGAGCCCCGAATTTTTCAGAGCTCTCTACTCGGGAGCTACTCATGGTTGTCAGCATAGACGATGGATTCAGAAAATGTTGTTGGACTATATTTGCTGGCGGATCCGCGATGGATTGGGCCGACTCCGGGCTGATCAAATCGTGTAGCGGCACCGAGAGTGTAGCATTTTGACAATGCCCTATGCTCGGGTTCGTCGCCTTGGAATTATGCAATTCTACGGCAATGCGGTCTTGATGATTTTGTGTCACCACTTTCCAGTCGGGCCGGTTGGTGATGTTGTCCGTCTCTATGCTTCGCCGGGCAATTTCTCCGGTTGGCAAAGTGTTGCTCGCCATGATTTTGTCCACGTCGTAGCGCGATATATCGAAGTTGGTAACTGCATTGGCGCCACGGAACTTGATTGCCGCAATGTCGTATGCCTCGGCCGCTTCTTCTTGTGTGCCTACGTTAAATAAATACAAGAAATTAAGACACTATTTACATACTTTCTCTGTCCCACTTCAAACAATTCAAGTACGTCATTTGGGATTTTACAAGATATTAAAAAATAATAGTATTTTATTGGTCAGTAAAAGTGTAAGAAATTTTGACATTTTTGTCTTTTTATTTTATATTTTACATATAAAGTAATTGCATGTGTAATTATATGTTTGTAGTTTAAGTAAAGTTAAGGGTATTTTGGTATTACCGTACGATTACTTTATTAAAATATAAAATAAATACTTTGAAGTGGGACGTAAAAAAATAGTAAAAAATGTACTTTGAATTGGAACGAATGAATTATATAATTCTAAATTTTTTGATACTATTCATCAACAATAATCTTTTTAAAAATATATATATATATATTTATTAACTATTTTTTAAAAAAATTCAAAACTCCAAATACATCTATCTAAATAGCCATTTCAATTAATATAAATATCATGCAATAAAAATTCGAACATATATAATATTTCACGGCCAATTATTCATTTATATTGAAAGTAAATTTATAATAGATGAACATTTTTTTTTTTATTTTTAAATTTTGTTATTCCCTAGTTCGAAAAAAGCAGCCTTAAGAAAAGGAGTCAAGTAAAATTAGGTGAAAGCTGTACATCATCAGCCTTACAAAAGCATCACTCACACAATAAAAGTGAAAGAATACAACTTTTAAATTTTAAATATATGAATACAATTTTTCTTTTTTTTTTTCATTTAAGTTCAATTCGAACCCAAATTGTGCAAATTTTACCTTAAACAATTGTGGCAGTTAAAAATGGAAATTTTTCAATTTTCACTAGGCAATGTTATAGACATATATATATATATATATACTACACCAACTCGATCATTTTTTTATGACTATATTTTGATAGACAAAAAAAGAAAAATATTCGAATGGGACTAAGATTGTATCACAAAATATAAAATGAATCGAGTATTTTCCAATGGGACCAATAATGTTATTTTTATCGGCATTTATGAAGTTGAGACTTACTGAATGTTCCGAGATAGAGATCCTTATTACCAGCTACACGACCGATCCTCGCCTGCCATCTTCCATGCTGATGGTGCCTGTGCAATAAGAAATTAACCTGTTACATAATTATATATATATATATATAAATAGTTAAAACGATAAGGTTACGAGGAAGATTCGAAAATGGACCTTGTGACGCCTCTATATATGGAAGCCCCTCGAGAAAATCCACTGCTTTTTCTGCATTATAACAAATGTGTCAATGCATGTAAGAAACTAGACAAACAAAAACTCGAGACATTAATTTTCGAGAAAATTAACGTTGTCATTGTGAATATATATATATATGTGTGTATGTATGGACCTCCTTAGATGGGCGACGTATTCTTGCCGGCTCATGTTCTGCATTTCCTGGAGTTCTTGATGGTAGTTTTCCAACTTCAAATTGAAAAAAATTAAAATAAAATCAATACCTAGCAATTTGATCATAATAAAATTGAAATAATGCGAAATATATATTTATTTATTTATTTATGTACCCCAAAGTTAATATGTGTAGAGGGTCCCCAATATTTGAGAGCAGCAAGATCATAAGCTCTTGCAGCCTTCTCTTCCTTATCATAACCTCCTAGAATTTGTTGTAATAACCAAATCTCAATTATTAATTTACTCAAAAATAATTTAATAATTTATAATAATGAGAAAAAAAATTAATTTCCAATACTCACCAAGATAGACTGATAGATTATTATTGTGTGATGGACATGGCATGGCAGCAACACCAAATCAGGACAAAGATTAAAGAACGAGTTAGGTGATGAAAAATGTGGTCAAAAAGTAGTAATGTATATATTGTAGATCTAGGGACATTTATTTATTTATTTATTTTATCTATTTATTTATTTAGATTTTTGAAAATAGTGAGTGAGTGACCTTGTCTTCCTTTTCTGGTTTGGCCTTCCTTCTTGCAACTGTTGTCCCATAAGTGAGCTTCATACCTACCTGTCCACCTGTGTCTGCAAACAAACATATGCACTATTATATATAATTAATTCACACATTATTAATTGTTTTTATTTTGAATTTAAATGAATGATATAAAACTGACAAAACAAAATCTTACAAATATATTGCTAAAACTAAAAGTGTAAATTGTAAAATCTAGGGTTTGTTTGTCTACAATCCAAACTCTGTGTTTTTACTATTTAGACTAATGTTTTTCGACAAAAATATATTTTTTTTTTTACAAAACATCTCATCATATATTATTTTAATATCAAATTTAAACCAAATTTTTTTCAAACCCATAAAAAAAATATACAGCTTTTTTTTTAAAAAAAATAAATCACAGGCTAGAAATTGAGAACAAAAACAATGAAACCAAAGTATTTTCTTCCAAAAGCATTACATATTTCAGAAGCTAAGGATTTTTGTTGATATATTTTTGACAATGAAAGAAATTAATTATAAAAATAGAAAATAAATAAATAATTAACCTTGTAACTCCTCGATACTGAGATGTCCTCTGGCCAAAAGTGTCGATGGATTTCCTATGAACAGTGGGTTTATTATTATTAATATTATTGTTATTGTTAATAGGTGTGTCTGTGTCTCTGTGTCTCTTCTTGGAGTTCATATTCTCCATGGCCATGGCTGCTGCTGCAGCAGCTACAGTAGTAACAGTAGTGTCTGCAGTAGAAGAGGGTGAGATCTGGCTGGTGACACAGCTCGATTGGGAGGCTGGGCTCATCGAAAGACTCAGTGCAGACTGCAACTCACCCATGGCACCATTACCATCGTCCATCCATGTCTTCATTATTACATCCTCGGATGTCATCATTTCAGGGTTTATTACTTGATGATATGTAGTGCTACTGTTGTTGCAGCAGCCTGCAGGATCTTAATTAATTCAAAAATCAAAACCCACTATTAATTAATTAATTAATTAAATCAAGAATCTGACTGACTGACTTACTACTAGGTTGTTGGTGTTGGTGTTCATCATGATGACCTAAGATTCCAATATTTCCATTGGTGTTGAGGGCAGAATAGTAATTGTAGTTGCAGTGTGAAGGGTTGTAAAATGTGGAGTTGGTCGTGTCGAGGCTTAACACCATGGCAGCTGCAGCAGCTGAATCGACTAGTACTGGTGGATGCTGCAAGATTTGGAACTGATGTTGATGATGATAATGAGCTGCAGCTGCCATTGGCATTGCCATTGGGCCTCCCAAGAAATCCTCCAGTTTCGGAGATGCTGTCGTCGTCGGCACAAGCCCTACAGAATTAGTTATTCATGTAAGAAGATTTAACTAATTAATTAAACAGAATAGTATATTATATAATAATTTGATGATCAAACCTAATTGTGTGTGGGAGTTAGTGGAGAAGGAGTCCATATTGATGCAAAGAGAGCCATGGTCGGATTGGAAGTGTTCGTTGGCAGGCACGCCGAAGAAGAAGCTTCCAGAAGGGCTGCTGCTGTCTTCATTATTACCATTACTATTACTACTGCTATTATTATGGTCTGAAACTGAACCAGCAGCCTCCATGTTCATGTGGGGTGAGAGGGAAAATCCCAACCAGTTGGCGGCGGGGGAGGAGGTTTCATGGCCAACTATATTCTTGATGGGCTTCATCTGCATCATCATCGTCGTCTTCACAGTGAAGAAGAAGAAGAAGAAGAAGAAGAAATTGATGGAAGGAAGGAAGGAAGGATGTGTGTTTCTAGTCCAACATAGGGAAGAAAATATTATATTGAGCAATCATTTCCACAAAAATCCCAACTCTTAAACTACTTCTTCTGTAAACACTCCTGCTCCTCTGAAGATATATATATATATATATATATATAGAGAGAGAGAGAGAGAGAGAGAGTGGCTTTAATGAAAACAAAAAGAAGAAAGTAGGATGGAGTTTGAGCAAGTAGAAATGTGCTGGATAATGGGTGGCAACCAGCATTCCTTTACTGCATATTTTGGGGATCTGTGTAACACTATATATATATATATATATATATAAACAGATCTCACGAGAGCGATATATCTTAAGATTTTTTACAATGGGCACCAGCCCCTTTTTTTTGTTTTCCTTTAATACAAAATTGTACCTATACACTAATGTGTTTGTTCTAGTAAAAATTTTAAATTTGAATAGTTGTACCATGTAATATAAATAAGTTTTGATTTGATATTTTGAATGTAAAATTGATTTTTTTTAGTATAATATAAAAAATAAAAAATAGGTATTTAATTTGACATTTTTTATGAAAAAATTGGAATGAATAATGTATTTAAAATCTAATCCCCAAACCAACGCACCCTTACTATATATATTAGAGTGAGAGAGGGGAGAACTTTGAATCCACTTGATTAATGGTTGTAGTGCTAGTTAAAAATTTATTGATTGATTCTGAAATTGGCCCAGCATTCTTGGGACATTTATTAAATAATACAATGTTCAATAGTAATGGCTTTTACTTTTTTAAAAAAAGAAAAAACAAAATTAAAATTAACTTAAAATCTTTTTTAAAAATAAAAAATAAAAGCATTAAATTAAATATATATCTTTTTTTTTAATTATAATATTAATTTTCTTTTTTTTTTATCAAATGCTTTCTTTAAAAAATAAAAAATGTATTTTTTTTTAATTTATTTGTTTGAATAATAATTTGCATACAATCTTTCATTAAAAAAATTTAACTTAATTTTATAAAAAATTGAATAATAGAATTTTTGGGAAAAAAAAAATGCTCACTAAACAACATCTAACTTTCTAGACAACCAAAGATCTCAATATTGACATAATAGGAAGAAGGATCTTGGATTGGATGGAATTGATTTACATATTATAGGAACATCCTCAATTGATCATCAGAATGTGCTAATAAATTTTGGTAATTCGAGCTACAATATGTTAGAAATTATTTTTCAATTAAATGAAGTTTACGTGACACTTTTTCTTATAAAATATATAATCCGTCTATACAATTTTAGCATATTTTAAATCCTATTTTTATTGAAAAATATAAGATAGTTAAAGGTATTTATAAAAATTGTTGAGAAATGGAGAGAGATAATGTAGATTATATGTAACAATGACAATGACATTTGTTCTAACTAAATATTGAACTGAAAGTAATAGTTAAATTCTATATTTTAACTTTGTCGAACCAGTAATATGATAACTTTAATGAACAAATGAAAAATAAAAAAAATAAAAATAAAAATTGACAAATGAAAAAATTAAAAATTAAAAAAAAAATAAAATTAAAAGCATGCCTCATCAAATTTGAATGCAACTTGAAACAATGGATGTTGTAGCTTTTAGAAAGCGCATTGATACATATTTATTAGCGAAAATAAAAATAACAAAAATATATTTTGTTCTTTTATCATTTCAAATTAAAATTAATATTATTTATTATGTCCAATTTTTAATAAAAATAAATTATTGTTCTTCATAAGACATCACATCAAATAATATTATTTAAATAAAAACTAAAATAAAAATTTTATTTCAAATCAATTTCAAACAAAAAAAAAAAAATTATGAATGTGGAATTATTTTTGGCCAATAACTTGGAAGACCTGTGATACATCAACCCGAAACCCAGATCCGATAACCGCGAAACGTTCCCGGTTCTTTGTGAGACCACCGGTTTATTGCTGAACCACCCCAATCTGAGCTGAACCGGTCTGGATCAGAGTTATATATATATATATATATGAGTTGTAACCGGTTCAGAAATGTGATACACACTCTTACTCTCGCTCTCTCTCCCTCGACGTGATTCTTCTCTCTAAAAGCCCTAACACTCCGACGGCGACTCCAATCGATCTTCCTTGATTTTCTCCGGTGATCGGTCCAGCAAAGTGAAGGTTTAGCAGTGGACATCAATATACATTGTGTTCTGAGGCTGTTCCTCGGTTTGATTTCTTGGTTTCATTTCTTGATTTGTGCATTCCTTACAGTGTATGGTGTATATTGTCTTTTTTGGAGAGAATAGGCTTAGATCGTTGATGTTTTCCTTAGATCGAGGTTTGGTTCGCATGATTGTTGTGTTTCTGTAGATGTCGATTGTGTTTGGGTTTGTGTTGTGCACTACATTTGGTGTTTTGGTTGTTTTTCGTTTGGGTAACCTAAGTCCGAGCTAGTTGTTTTCGTAATATAAAAGATTCTTTAAGTTCTTAGCTATTTTGATGTGTTTCTTGTAAATATAAGGCTTGTCGATTTTGAATGTGTAATAACAAGTGGTATCAAAGCTTATAAGCCTGTTTTTTGTTTACTGGAAAGTCTAACATCAAGTTTTAATAGTGAAAAACTTGTTCTCATTGTAAAAACCAAAAGGTTTTTTGTAAATAGACTTAAGAGTGTGCGAGATCTTGGTTGCGAACATTGCTGAAATGAAAACCTGGCTTGTCAGTGACTTTTTTCACCTCCGTAAAGTTTGTTTCTCCTTGTAAAGGTCTGAAATAAGTCTTGTAGGAGATTAAGATCTGAAATCACCCTTATATGGTTGATTTGTATAATTTCTTTTAGTTGAACCATCCAAACTTTACTAATCTGTGTGTTAAGTGCGCAGTGAACAAGATTTTGACAGGTGGAGTTGCTTGGATTACGAAAAAAAAGTCAAATGATTGTTGCAGAGCAAGGAGTGCGGTAAAATTTTGTTTTAAATTTCAGCAGTAAACATGTTGTTGTGTGTTGTGTCTATTTTGTTAGTTGATAAGTAATTTGTTGTGGCTGTTGTGTGTTTTGTTGTCAAGTCTTGTTTGAATCAGTTAGAAAATTGTTTTTCTGTTGGAAATATTAACTGCACTAGAAGTTGGTTTCAAAAGAAACTAACTCTCGGATTGGTTGATATAATTCTAAGTTGGAATTAGTTGCAAATTCTGGTTTAGGTGTGCAAAAAACTTAATCTGGTTATTCTTTAAATCAATCCGTGTGAGACTGGGCTGTTTCTTTGAAAATACAGTGAGTTTTTTTTTTTAAATCTAAAAAATGGTAAATCAAATTTATTTTAATGTACAGCCCTTCGATGGAAAAACTGATTTTGCTATTTGGAAACAAAAAATGAGAAGTGTTCTTGTAACTCAAAGATTAATAAAAGCCGTTGAAATTGATCTAGCAGTTGATATTCCTACTGCGAAGAGGAATAAGCTTGATGAACTTGCATCATCTTGCATTATTTTGAACTTAGCTGATCATGTAATAAGAAATTAGGGGTTTATGAATCAGCTAAGGATTTGTGGGACAAATTAAATAATATGTTTACAGAAACTTCTCTTCCAAATAGGATACACCTTTTAAAAAAGTTTTTTAGATACAAATTAGACCTTACAGAGACAATAGATGTTTAAATGTTTTTACCAAATTAATACAAGACATCAAACTGACAGGGGATAAAACAATAGATAATTACAGTTCTATTGTCTTGTTAAGTGCTATTCCTAGTTCATATTCAGATGTAAAATTAGTAATAAAATATGGTAGGGATGTAATTATACTTGATGTGATTATAAATGGTCTAAAAAGTAAAGATGTTGACTTGCAACTTTATAAATCTAACAAACAGTCACATTGTGAAGTCATGCATCTTAGGGGTAGATCTCCTTTTAGACCTAACAAAAATGGTTCTTCTTTCAATAATAATAAGCAAGGGAGTGGTTCCTATAATAGTTAATATAAGAAGAAGCCTAGAAGTAAGTCTAGGAATAGGTCTCAAACACCCTCTAAGTACATCAAATGGTGTTTTAATTGTGGGGATCCTTTACATTTTATTAGGAATTGTCCTAAGAAAGGTCGAAACAATGCTAACAATAATAGCCATATCAACAATGGAACAACCCATGTTAATGCTACTTTAAATGAGCAAGCAAACTTGATATTACATGATGATTGTATAAGTGAGGTGTTTTCTGTAACTGCTGGATGTTCAAACATAACTGATTTTAACAAAAATGAATGGTTGTTAGATTCAGCATGTACGTATCATATGACTCATTTTAAAGAGTTTTTCTGTGATTATAAAACCCTTTCAAATTGTAATAATACAATGGCAAATAAGGACCATTGTTTTAAGGTTTAGCTCAGGAAATATTTTGAAACTTTGCAATGTGAGACATGTACCAAATTTGTCAAATAACTTGCTTTCATGTGCCGGTTTGTCTTCCCTAGGCTTAAAGAGGAAGTGGGGAATGAAATTTATGAAAATTACAAAGGATTCTTTAGTTGTTTTCAAGGTTGATTTGAGAAATAACCTATATGTAGTGACTGTTGTGCCTATTATTAAATTTGAAGTGTGTGTTAATGCTATAAAAGATAACACTGAGCTGTGGCATAGAAGGTTGAGTCATTTGAGTAATAGAGGATTAGAGATTTTACAAAAATTTGGGCACTTTAGGTCTAAAAAACTGTCAACTTTGCCTTTTGTGAAAATTGCATTTATGTAAAACACCATAAGGTTTTATTTCCTCAAAAACCCCTTGAAAATAATTTTTTTTTCAAATGATGTTTTAGAATATCTTCACTCGGATGTGTGGGGCCCTTCGAGTGTACCCACACATGGTGGAAGAAGATATTTCTTGTCCCTAATTGATGATTTTTTCAAAAAAGTATGGGTTTTCTTGTTGAAACAGAAATCTGATGTGTTTGAAACTTTCAAAAACTGAACAATTTCAATTGAAAATCAAACGAGTAAAAGGATTAAGTGTTTAAGAACCGACAATGGCTTGGAATATTGCAATACTTAGTTTGACAACTTCTGTGTTGAGAATGGAATTAGAAGACATAGGACAACCCATTATACTCTACAACAAAATGGGTTTGCTGAGCGGATGAACCGAACTCTATTGGAAATAGTTCGAAGCTTACTAGCTTCTTCAGGTTTATCCAAGAG